CTATAACAGTAACAGTAAAACCTTAGTGAAAAATAGGTGATAAATACATCTATATTATATTTATTAATAAAACAAGATGAATGACTAAATCAATTAGGCAAATAGAATAGAAAAGCTGCTAGCATAAAGGTATACCTCAGCACCTCAGTGTCAAAAATTCAAATATTGGGTATGCAGCGCTAAATGTTAACATACAAGACAATGATCCAAGTACGTTTATATAAATGTTCATCAGTTAAAAGATAGTCCCAGATAAAAGTCTTCCAATAGCTGAACTCATCAGACTATATACATTAGTAATAAATATTCCGTAGGGTGATATATCATCCACCAGTGGTTGAACCGGTCAGGTTGTATACCTTAATAATCAAACTTCCATGCGGTAATGGTATAGTAATGTGCTTACCAGAAATACATACAAACTGCGCGTTGTATGCATATACTCTGTAAAGGCATCGGGATCTGGTCACCGGTATGATATCATCAAGCGCAGTGGGGGACTCTCGAAGATGATGTTAGTCACGCTCAAGGTCCACCTCATAGGTACAAATTTTTGAAAACGTGCGGTCTGCACGAAACATGTCAGGGGAATCCCTCAATGCGACGCTGTATATGAATTTGTACCTATGGAACTTATCTACAAGCCAGTATATCTGATGTGAGTGCCTTTCTTTGATACATTTGTTTTTTTTTTTTTAATAAAAACAATATTACACTATTGGTACCATCTTGCCTTCCTGGCTCGTTATTTTACGAGCCCCTTTAAGGTGGATTTACTTCTGGAGTCTGAACGGCGTTGGATCCACTGGTGAGTCTGAGGTGGACCTTGAGCGTGACTAACATCATCTTCCAGAGTCCCCCACTGCGCTTGATGACATCATACCGGTGACCAGATCCTGATGCCTTTACAGAGTATATGCATACAACGCGCAGTTTGTATGTATTTCTGGTAAGCACATTACTATACCATTACCGCATGGAAGTTTGATTATTAAGGTATACAACCTGACCGGTTCAACCACTGGTGGATGATATATCACCCTACGGAATATTTTATTACTAATGTATATAGTCTGATGAGTTCAGCTATTGGAAGACTTTTATCTGGGACTATCTTTTAACTGATGAACATTCATATAAACGTACTTGGATCATTGTCTTGTATGTTAACATTTAGCGCTGCATACCCAATATTTGAATATTATATTTATTATTTCATACTTATATCCTTAGGGATATTGATAAAGCAGCTAAAATACATATTTATTTTTACAGACAAATATTTGTTATTGGCGATATATATCACATATATACACACATGCATACATATTATATATTATCTATAATACAGTATATCCACAATATTTTATTTACTTTACACACAGGGGCGGACTGACAACTCATGGGGCCCCCGGGCAATAGGGGATCATGGGGCCCCTGTGTCCTTGCCCAAACTCAAAAAAGCCTATGAAAAAAAGGTACCAGGGGCATTTCATGGGGCCCCTTACTGACCCCGGGCCCTCAGGCAGTGCCCGAGTTTCCAAATGGTCAGTCCGCCCCTGTTTACACATCATTACAGTGCGGGCAGATTTACCCGTTCACTATGGGTATATTTAGGTCATGTGTTTTTGGACAGAGTTGCCAATTTACTGTGATCAATTGCTGGCAGAAGGTGCACAGGCCACATTGTGGTGATGAAAAAGGATGACATATAAACAATAAGGCCTAATGAAAATGTGTGTTGAAACACTCTTATGTGCTACATCCTCAGAATGAAACATACTTTCTGTGGGCATGATTTAGCGGATGTTGCATATCTGGTGGTATTTTAGCATGTACTAATAAAAACACAAAAGGTCAGAACAAGTAAAACAAGAAAGTATTATTGCTACGTTCTATAAGGTATGATGTATTGAATTATATGTATTATCTGCTATTGTCTGAAACAGAAATATATACAGTGGGAGAGGATGCAATTGTAGAAAACAGTACAGTAAAGCTGACCTTCAGTAACTAGAGCTCTTTCCTTTGTGAGAATCTATGACCACACTTTCTTCTTAATTACATACTGTTATGAAATTCGATATTTCCAATGACCTGATTATCTAATCACTGTTTCTGAAATAGCAGCCTTAGGCATCAGTTTGATGCATGTATTTCTACTTGGACAAATCTAGCAGTTGACAGTATTGGTCTGTGTAACTGCAACTGTAGAGGCTTCAACGGTACACATATACATTCTGTATAGCATGAAAAAAAATTTCTCTCTATATTTAAATATAAGGGATCAAGAATCACACATATCAATTTTCAAAAATTAATAATAAAAAAAAATATATATATAACCATATAATATATTATAATAATCTGTGAAGAATCCTAAGTGATCCAAGAAGAGCAAAAGCATGGCCTGTGAGCAGCCGACAGGAACGCCAAGGCAGAGATTATTGTATTTGATGAGTCTGCTTTCTTTTTAACCATGTGAGTACATTCTATATCATTTAATAAACTCTATTTGTGCAGTTTTTGCACTATAGGAATGTCCCTTGCATTTTATCTTTGAGCCATTTTGGAGGCCATTTCAGACTGTTCGCCAGTTCGGATGAGGTGATTTCTTGAAGGTGATATCTTTATCTTCTTATGTGCACTTTGACCTATCTGTTTTACACAGGGATCATTGCGTTCCAGTAAGAAGATATATTGTGTGTTTTTCCAGACTGGGCGAACCCTTATATCACCACTTTAAGATTTTGTTCACTTTAAGGACACTTGCAATGGTGTTTTATCTGATTTAAAAGGACCTTCTTAGCACATAAGCACCTTTATGATTTTTTATAAATTTAGTTTTGTTTTTTTTTCGTGTTCTTGCCCTTCTTGGATCACTTAGGATTCTTCACAGATTATTTTAATACATTATGTGGTTATAATCACTCATTAATTTTGTTTTTAGCGCTACACCTTAAAATCGTTTTCTTTATATGTTTTGAGTTCTGGTATCTGAATTTTATTGCTAGCAGCTTCTTTTTACTTTTTACATATATATATATATATATATATATATATATATATATATATATATATATATATATACACACACATACACACACACACACACTATGGAGCAGATGATTTTCCTGATGCAGCAGAACAGGCCAGGTACAGGCCAGTCGCTGCATAATAGCGTGTGAACTGCATTGTACTGAGTATTTCCAGTAGGCAATATAGTAAGAGAGAGATGCTTATTAGGCTCAGTATATGTCCAAAGAGGTTCTGAGTTTGGCATTTTAAGTGTACCACTATATTGTAGACCATAAACCTATAATTTGCTTCTTATCAATGTAATGTTTCTACTGCAACTGCAATACAGCGTATACAGTATATCTGCACCTTACTAAATCAATGTGTGGACCAATTTTATTTCCATTCCTTTTTGATTTATAGATGACTAAAATTGTCTACATTAGTTTCATTTTAATGGAATAAATCATCTAGTATTAGTATGTGCTTTATATATATATACACTATTAATTAAATGGTTTAAAGACAATGATCACTGTATTCTATTAGGCTTATTATTTATTGCACATCACTACATTTAATTTTTATAACATTTTTTACACTCAAAATATTCTAAAATCAGCAGTGAGGTGCAACCAGTAATCGCATCACACACACTCTTGTATTATCATTGGTAGCTGTGTTGGTTATTACTTGTATTTCCACTGGCGACTAACCTGATTATAGTGTGTTATTAAAGCTGCTCTACTAACACGGTTACTTTTCTAGAAAATGTAGTATTAGCACTTACACATATACAGATATGTGACACAATTCTTCCATCTCTAAGGTTTGATTCCTGAAATTAATATTTTAAAGAGCACTCTATGGAGCCACTCATAAGTAAAGTAGTTTGCGCACTCTAGTAAATAATGAGAGTATGCACAATATCAGACATTACATTTTAAACTAGATGTTATATTTATTTGCCATCACTGACAATTTCAGTTAAATATAATGACTTACTTTGGGATTACAGATTTATAGTTACACCATGTTTCCTTTTGAGTGGGGAATTTATGAAACAGTGTATTATTTGTCAACATCAAGTGGACCTGTGGGACAACCTGTGTGTTTTTTTTTGTAGCTTTAGGATAAGCATTAGTTTCAATGTGCTTTTGAGTTTGGAATTTAGAAAAGATATAGTTAACCGCAACTGACCAAGGCTTGGATATCTCCAGTGCATCACAACACATATGAGCCAAACTACAGTAAATCAGTAGGGCTTTGGTGGCTTGTCCAAACATGTGAAAGCTATTTAGATCTAGGGAAGTCTTACAGTGATTGTAAAGGCAAACTTGTTATTTTAAAAAAATAACAAACATGTGATACTTACCTACCGCGGATTCTCCTCTTCTGGGATCCCTCACCATCGAATGCCCCTGTAGCAAGCTGATTGCTATGGGTACTCATGTGTGCTCTCTCCCAAGCTGGCTTTTTGTGTCCATAAGACACACAGAGTGCGGCTTTGCCCCACCTATAGCCAAGACAGATGCTGCTCTTGTGCACATCGCTGGTTCGAGATTGGGCTCAGGTAAGTATTTAGGGGGGATTGTGGGGGGAGCTGCTTTCAGAAGGTTTTTTTTACCTTAATGCAGAGAATGCATTAAGGTAAAAAAAAAACCTTCTGCCTTTAGAGCCACTTTAATTTTTCTTGGTTTCATGTATTTTGGATTGGATGCAGGTGTGGTATATTAAAAAGAACCAAAAAACAAAAACCTGTCACCTTTCACTTTACATTAGTAACAATTTTATATACTAGCTGTGGTAAGAACATAATACATTTTTAAAAGGCACAGAACTCTCACTATTTCTGTAAAAAAATCCAACCACAGGCAATTTAATTCTAATCCAGTATATAAAACATATTCTGCACCTCTGCAGGTTTCATTCAGGCTTCCTTTATGACACAAACCGTATACCTCGGAAACTTATGTATTTACCTTGCGGAACTCCAGCAATGAGTTAAGAAAACCTGAATTGTTCATTAGTTTCAAGGCTTCTCCCCATGATGGTTTCACACAATTTCGCTCTGGATCAGCTGTCACTGGATCTATCTTTCTTTGGAATAACAGCAAAACACAGTCCATGATTCTCATAATTAAATGAGGAGGTCTACCCAGTTTTCTAACTGTTGATATGTCAGCAGGCCTAATAGTCTGAAAGACATAAGATATTTTGCGTTAGAGAATACGTCTACAAAAAACACAGGCATCATCTAGATGGGACATTAAATATAAATGTGTCACTTGTTACTTGACCGAAAACATTATTAAACTTTATTACTAGAAATTCTTATTAATTGATCTTTGCGGTAAAATGAAATCTATTTTTAAATCATGTAGCAAGCAAGGAAATTATATGCAATCAGAAGTCTAATATAAAATATCTTATGGGTATGTTTCCAAAGCAGTTATTGTTACATTCACCAAACATTCACTGAAGGTGAACCAATCACTGTAATTCAAAACATGCCTCAGAAAAATTCACCTTTAGTAAATGTTTGGTGAATGTCACATTTAGTGAAACCCCGTGAACTAAAACAGAAAATACAGTTTGGCAAAGAACTGGGTAAAAGATAATGTAACTGATACCTGCAAAGCTGCTTCGGCCTCCTCAAGGGCTGGCCTGGCCACTTCCAGTTTCTCTTCAGCGGATGCTTTAGCGACGGCAATTTCATCCACAATGGCTTGTGCTTTGTCTTTCACTTTTTGAACCTGCATCTTTACCTTTTCAGCAGCTTGAGCTTTGAGAGTCACTTCCTGCAAGACTTCATCTGCCTTCTTAGAGGCAACAGCCAAATCTTTTTCTTTAATTGCTAACTCTTTTGACAACTGATTAACAGAAACTTCAGCTTCCATTAATTTTGCAAGACCTTTAAAACAATTAAAACACAAAATGTAAGAACATATTCAAACCATTCAATTACTGCACACAACCACAATACAGTAGTTGCCAACATTTTACCCCCAACTCAAAATCCACCACCACGCATCTGACAAAAATTGTAAGTAGCATTCTTATTGCAATGATACCAATATAGGAGGTATGCTTACTTCCACTGAAACCAGTGGTGGGACATCCCTACCTTCTGCTACCACAGAACATTTCCACCGTCAATGAGGGGTGTATTTACCACAAGGCAAACAAGGCAGTTGCCTAGGGTGGCATTTTTCAGGGGGGCAGCAGCATTTTTCAGGGGGGCAGTGCCATCCCCTGAAAGAATGAAAGGAAGAAGGGACACACGCAGCACGGAGACCAGGTGGGATCTCAGAGAGGCTGTGGGTTGCTTGACGTTGTATGCATAGCCTGACTCTTGTTCCCGGGGAGCTGTGAAGTGAGTGTGTTATCTCTTGCTGGGGCGGGGGAGGGGGGTTGCCAGTGCATGGGGGCGGTGGTAGTGGAAGGCTCTCTCGGGTGGGGGCTAGGGTGTTGTTGGTCAATGTCAGGCTCTTAGTGGGGAAGGGGGGTGTTGGCTGGTGTCAGGGTCTCTCCATGGGAGGGGAGCCAATTTTTGTGTTGTCTAGGACAGCATGAAACCTAAATACACCTAAACTAAGAAGCATTCCACCTCCCTCTGACATCAATCTAAGGAACATTCTACTCCAACTAGCAGCAGTGTAGGGGGCATAAAACCCCCACTGACACCAAAGTAAGAGTCAGTACATTACACATTTTCAAGTGCTGCACTCTGCAAGCTGTGCTGTATAATATGTATGCCTGAACACTGCACTCTATACATTGTGCTGTACTTTAGTGAATCCAGGTCACTACATCCTGTACACTATTGTATGTTAGCATATTCTCATCTGCTGCACTGTGTTAGATATGCTGCACATTACATATTATTGACCAAAGTGTAGTTTGTATCAAGAGTTGCTGGTTTCTAAGTATTCATTCCACAACTATGTTAATAAAGTTGGGGTCTTTTTATATAACATTCATTTAATGAATGTCACAAACATTCATCCAGGCTGCACACATTTTTCCTGTGTTTTCTCTAACACTGTGACTTCCTGCTTCATCTAGTGGCCAAAATGTGATATATTTTTCTGATTGAGGTATTTCAGAAAAGTATACTGCACTTTGTGCCTTAGATGGAACTGACAATCATAAGAAGTCATTGTAGTCACAGAGAAAACACTGGGAAAATCCATGCAGTGGGGACAAATGCTTGTGACATTCGTTCAATGAATAATTTATAACGTGTTAGCACTATGTCTAGATTCTGGGTTCAGAAACATATGTAGTAGAGGAGTCTATCCTTTGTCCTGAGATTTTGTGTGTCTGTGAAAGTTTCACTTGTGACACAATGAAAAAAACTATATTTTGTGGGTACTTGGACTGTAGTATGTGTCTGCAGTGTATTCAGCTCATAACAAAATCTAGAGTACCACTTTGGATGACTTTGGAACACTATATTCCACTGTGACAAATTTACTGGCTTGCTATTAATAGTGCTATTAATGTTTACATTAAACAGGAGAGTATGAATAGACTGACAGAAGAGACGGTAAAAATTAAAAAATATGGAGTTGATGTTGAAAACTGAACATTTCCAGGAAAAAAAAATAACAACAATAATAATAATAATGGATTACGTTAGAAATAGAGCAGCACACAGACTAGCAAGTATATAAACAGTGCCTGAAAGATATTAGGTGCCCGCACAGTCCACTTTTAAGTAATCGTGGCAGATCTAATATGGTAAAAGATAAGACAAGGACTAAGACAAGGAATCAGCTAATAACAGTGCTGGGGAGCAGGACAATGCATATGCATTATGTAGCCTTGGAGCTGTTGGCTCATGATTTTTAATACCCATATCGATAAACTGTGCCATGTGCCTCAGGGACCTGGAGCAAGAGATGCCACTGAACATCACCAATTCAGCATTTCATAGGTGCCATTGTTTATATCTCCACCAGTGATATATCTCTCCCTAGTTTTAGGTTACTTGCCAACACTAATTTTAGAAGAGAGAATGAGATTAGGGAGACCAAACACCAAATCAGGCAGAAAGAATGGAATAAACAGGTCATGCAAAATGCACATTCCAACTAAAATACCACATCTCTGCTCTTTCTTTGTTACACAGGTCAAACAAGGACTCATGAATAAAAATCCTGAAAAGGGAGTGTCAATGATAAAAATAGCAACATCTCAAATATTGATTTTATTTCTGAACCAGCATTACATAAACAACACAGAGACATTTTAACATGAGGCCCACGTGGCTCTGCATGTGGCCTGTCCATAAAACATGAAATATCTGATATAGTACTAAAAAAAATCTAATTTCTAAATGTAACAATCCTAACTTGCCGCATTATCTAAAAATAACTTTAGCTTTTGGTAACAAATGGAAGAGAAAAACATATGTTTAATAAATAATTGATTGTATCAAGTGAAAAAATACAAATTGCATTGATTTCAATTATTTCAACATGACATGCATCAAACATACCTGTCTTCATGCGGTTGGACAAATTTCCTACATTTTCATATTTCTCCCCATATATTGCTTTATAGCCACTGATAAAGGACAGATATGATTTTGGGGTGACATATGTCTGCCGTCTGTACCTTTCAAAATATTCCACACATTTTTCTGCCACAATGTCCTGAAATGTACCCATTGTGTTCACAACGCTATGCTTCACTTCTTCTGTACATTCTATTTTGTAAGAGGCCAAAAAGTGATTGGCAACAGCAACCAAAGCATCTCGTGGCCACCGCTGGAACCAGTCCATGGTACACCCAGAAATAAGACCTGGGAATTTTAGAGCTCTGGTTCTGAATTTTTCCCCAACTGGAGAAAAGCAAAGTACCACATGCAAGTTACTGCGAACACGAGAGAGGAAGTAATCGTACAGGTTCTCAGCAGTGGGTGCTCGCCGTGGGTATTCTTTCTTCATGATGGGAATTAAATCTTGCGTGATTTCATCAATCTCATCCCTTGCAAACAGGTTGGACACTTCTCCTGAGGCCAACACATTATTCATGTACTCTAGGAATGATTCATCCTTAATCTCATTGTCTGTAAATATGAAAGTTATTCCTTTTCCTTTTTGCCCAGCTGTACGGTACAAGAGTTTTAGATCATCCAGAAGATTATTTGTTCCATAGGTTCTAAAATAGAGGACATATTGTTAAAAAATCAATCTGTTATGCATGCAAACATAAAAGCATGTTCTTTCAGTTGTTAAATAGGCACATAGGTAAAGTCATAACACACTCCTCGCCAATGTGTTCTAAGTAATATTGACTATCAATTAATGTATCTTGCTTGTTTGATGTATTTTAGGCTTCTGAGTTAATAGTATGTCTTAACATATTATGTCGAAATTAATGGAAAAAAAAAAACAAATGCTCTTTAATTTTCCATTACAATCTTAAAAAATAATTTTATCTGAATTGTATACTACAAGCAGAATAGATTATTTTGTGTTTGATGAAATTTCTATAGATTTTGGATTCTATTTTAGCCTATTGTAACTGTAGACCTATGAAGAAACTAGGCAATTGGCTTAATCAATACAATATATCTGCTAGTACTGCATATGCTAGAACTTCTACAGTATAGACATTTTGTGCCATCAAAAAAATAGATTAGGATTGACTGAGACAAACTGTAAAAATGTACCCAAAAAAACAGCACAAAGAACTGTAAAAATATCAAAAGGTGACTTTTTTTAAATTAAAATCAGTAAAACTTTAGCACACTCCAGAGAGCATAAGACATGGCTCAAAGTTTGTTCATATTGTGGGAACTCGCTTCAAAGTGGTAGAGCTTTTAAACGCACACAGCTACTCGCTTTCTTTAAGGGCCTTTTTAGCCCACTTTTATTTAAATGAAACAGTTCAATAACATAAGAGGTTCCCACGCAGGGGTATCCACCATCACACAAAACAAAACTCAGCCTCCTGGCTTATACTCTGCTTGATGTCTGCCTCCTGCAGACTTCTTCAAGACACAGCTCTTGCACACCGCTGGCCACTAGCACACAGCTAGTCTCTAGCAGCCCCTTGCTGCTTTTGGCTTCCACCTCCCCTAGGTGAAGCCCACCTGACTCCTAGCTGCCGGGGTGGAGCCCTGCTGACTCCTAGCTGCCGGGGTGGAGCCCAGAACCCTGGTCCTGACTCTCTCTCTAAAGGCCTGCACACACCTGTGCAATCAGTCTCCTGGCCTATCCCAAAACCTGGTCCCAGGATTGGAGATTTCATCCCTCCCAGATCTCTTTGAAATCTCCAGGCTCCAGATCCCAAAACAGACCTTACAAACACAGGAGGAAAGTGAAAAGCCACTTTCCTCCATATCAAAAACTTACCCTGGAGCCCCTCAACCTGCCTTGTTGAGAATCCAGGGTTACAGATCGCCACACTGTCACATATCCCCCCCCTTTGTTTTGATCCCGTAGGGGGCAGAACACACAACTTATATCTTCTGGCACACCTCTGTGCCAGCTCTCACTTACAGGGGTCCAATCTGGTCTGACCTTACCTTTCCTAAAGGGGAACTCTACCCAATGACTCCTTTGGTGTCTCTCTCCCCAAGCCTCATTGTCACTCTGCTATGGGCTCTACTCAGACCTTCCCTATTCTTTTTTCGGGTGCATTTCCATAAACACTTTCTTCACTCCTGAGATCTTAACAGGGTCCCCCTGGCCTTTCTATCGACCTTTCTGTCCCTTTGCTTCAGGTGATCAGGTTTCCTAATACCTTTCTCAGTATTCCTGTCCCAAGGCTGTAGGGGAACTATTTCTACTGTATTTGTACCAGGACCACCCCCCTGATTTCTTGTACCTTTAGCTATCAAACCTGCATGACTCATTACCACAGTATTCAGTTTAACATGAACAGTTATATTCCAGTCAATATTACACCTTTCAATACATTTTCCAGCATTAGTTAGGACAGTGTCTGTAGATGGCACACACACCATAGGGCAGCCATCACCCACGTGAACCTCACAAAATGCCACTTCACCTGGCGTCATGCAATCTGCAGGCGGCTGTCCAACCATTTTAACTTTTTCTCTACACCACTTGTATCTGTATACAAATCCTGTACAGATGAGCTCTCTTCTGATCCATTTGCCAGTTTTCAGATACCATTTGTTCCTGTATGTCAGATGTCTCATCAGACCTGCTACCTAAACCTCTTTTTGGCCCAATGACCCGGATTTCTTTATGCACATCCGTTTGAGCCCTGGTCAGGATTTCTGCTGTTCTCTGGTCCATGCTCGGCCCTTCCATCTCATGTGGTTTGTCCACTGGTGCAGTCAACACACCCTTCACTGACAACTGACCAGCACCATCCTGGACCATAGCAGCAGAAATGCTTCCCACCTGGCTGTTAGGAGGTAAAACCTTTTTTGACTCTTTTTCCATTTCTCCAAAACATTTCTCATATATCACATTTTACAGGTAATCCAGTGGCATACCCCTTGATACAACTTTTAACACCATCAACAAATTCCGAAACAAACAACTTTCTTGTTCCCATTTGATCTGTACAGCCAGCCATTTGGTGCTCCACCTAGTGGTACTCCGCAGTACCAGACCATCTGACTGTGGAGGAGACACCCCAGTATACATTGGTTGTACATTCCAAAGTTCAAGCATCTCCTTTAATACTTTGGATACAACCCAACCACTTGACTCTAAACCTATAGAGCTTCCTGACCATATTTAGGGCACTGGGAACGCTGAGAGGACTCACCTGCTGAGACTTGAGAAGTTGAAATTTTTAAAGGGACCTTCTCCAAGCTGGAGACAACCACAGCCTGGTGCTCCACCAGAGCGCTGCCATGTGCTGGGCTCACTCTCAACATCTCAGACTCAGTATCCACAAGCTGCCCCTGATCATTCCCAGTGACAACATCATTTTGACACTCCATGCCAACATCACTTTTGTGGGTCACAGACAAATTCTCTGCTGTATACACGCCCTTATCCATAGGCTGTTCTATAGATCCTCCTGCTGGCACAGCAGAAAAACAGTGTCCAACCTTATTTTTTTGCATTAAAAGCCTCATCTAACAACGAGATTAGCCGTTTACCCCAACTATCCCAGTCCATTGTATATGTGCTCAATTCACCAGTGCTCCTCAGCACCGATCCATCCGCCCAAGGAGACACACAAGAATAGACGGGCTTAGTTGCAGATCCATTGCACAAATCACTCTGGATCACGTCTGACTTGGGTAACACCTGTTTTCCCACTGCAGGTTGCAATACCTCACATCCACCACTTTGCTCTGGTGATACTTCCTGAATTTACACCCACATTTGCATTTTTCCCAGGCTGCATTAACCCGCTGTTCACCTGAACACTTTCTGTATTGTTAGACTGCACCAACACACTCCTATTACAAGGTGCAGTTCCACTCTGCTCCACCAGAGTGACATCGCAGTTGTCCAGGGCAACCTCCGGCTCCAATACACGGAGACCCCTGGAGATGTCTAAGGACACCTGTGCTGTCTTACCACCAGTTGCTATGGGAAACGACCCATCTTTAACTATAGCTTTTGCACTGCAAGAGCTCAGGGTTTTCCCAACAGCAGAACATTTCACATCAACATCAGCATTTTTAGCTCTTGTGGGCTGTTCTATCCCACTACCAACCTGTGACTGGCACACATTAGTGACATCACTTGCTTTTGAGAACCAGGCACAGGTTTAACTTTAACCCCTAACTCCCCACTGTACAAGGCACTGGCACAGGGAAAAGTCACTCTCAAAAGCACATTCAGTGGCCCAATTTAACTGGGGTCACTCCTACATCAGAATGGACAGTCTCATAACCAGTCCTTCTCAACATGACAGTCCCCAGCCATGGTTTTATCACACACAGTCTTACCCACCACAGTAGTAGGTATCACCATCTTCATTTGAGTGCGTCGTCTCTAAACGCATCCTCAACTGCACTTTCCTTGGCAACTTTTCCCTTGCCCCAAGGTGAAGTAACAGATGCCTCCATAGGCTCCATGGACTCTCTGGCACCCCCTGCAGGCCCAACAGGAACTTCCTCCCTGTTGCCAGAGGTGGCTGCTGACATTTTAAAACAAGACTCTGGGCTTGAAGTTGTAGATATTTGCCCAATATCAGCGGTATTCCAGAGTCTGGGACAGGAAAAAGATCCCATGCCCCCAACACTGACCACATTCCAGGCATGGTACATTTCCACTCTTATCTTTGTTGGGACACTGAGCCACATCTTCAATGCAGCTCCTCCTTCCAGGCACTACTTTTTCTCCGGTCACCATGGGAGATTGCACTCTCCAAGCAGAACTTTGCTGGCTCTTTCCAACACGCTGTATTGGCTCCTCTTGATGCCACTTGCCATGATCCTTATATGACATAGCCCCCCCGTACACAGACAGCCCGACTGGCCTCCTCTGTGTTGCTATGGGCCTTCACTCTTGGTCCTGCCTCTGGTCAGCCCCTCTCCTTGCACATAGCATAGGCTTCTCTCTGCTGGACCAACTCTCAAGCCGTGACACATTCACATTTTTCACAACAGCTACTGGTTTAACTGCAGCAGCGTTGCCAGGGGCAACAACACCCCTCTCCCAGGTACAGACATCCTGCAGCTCTCTCCTTGCACTGAAGGTTGGCTTGCTTTCCTCTTTAGGTTGGTTCAATGCTGCCAGGTGCTGCTTGCACCAGCCCACAGCAGACTCACCCACATCTAAATTTCTGGGCTTGGCTGGGGCATGCGGTATATAACCCCCTAGCCACAGGGCTCTATCTCTCGCTTCAGCAAACATTGCCTCCTTTTTCTGGTTTGACCGCCCCATCTTTGCAGTCATGCACACAGCAGTGTGTTACACAGTTCAGCAACACCATGGAACACTGTCTCTTTAAGGCAAAGTCCTTTTCACTAGCAGGTTCTCCTCACCTGCACACACAGATAGTGCTGTGTCCATTGCACAGAAACTCAGTTCATATAACTGATGAACTTACTTTTGCAGGGATCTCCAATTCTGCCCGCATCCTCCACCATATGTGGGAACTCGCTTCAAAGTGGTAGAGCTTTTAAACGCACACAGCTACTCGCTTTCTTTAAGGGCCTTTTTAGCCCACTTTTATTTTAAATGAAACAGTTCAATAACATAAGAGGTTCC